ATTACATATCTGTCTTGTCACGCTCCATACAGAGCTGTCAATAGGCAAATGGCCGCGATAAATCTCATGTGTTAATATCTTAACAGCAATTTCCTCATATGTTCAGGAACGTACTAAAGCACACAGAGCTTGCAGCAAGTTTTGTTGCAGCTTTAAATAAAACTCGTTGATATTAGTGACAGATTGTGTCCAACAGTGTGGCCAGCACATTGTTGACATTTTGCGGCTTGTTCTCCTGCTGACAATTTAATTGAATTGTTCTTTACTTAACCACCAACTGCCCTCCACTGTGATACATCAGAAAAAATATGTTTATATATATAAAGCCTTTACATACTGCCGCGAACTAGAGCGGAAGATGCAGCTGTAGCTTTGCGCACGAAATGCATACTTAAACTTATACAAATTACATTCACTGTGCTTATTGTAATGCAATTTTAATAAAATAAATGCCGGGACTTTGCTGTCTTGAATGCCATTCTTTAATAAGAAATTGTTTATGCTCTCTCTCTCAAATTGAAAAGAGTTTATAAGTTTTGTCTGTGTTGAAGCTTAACTCTAGAATATATAATTGTGTCTAGCCTTAGAGAGTGAAGTGAAGTGAAGTGGCGTGTGTTAGAGAAACCCAATATACCTCTTAATGCAAAATCTATAATCTCTTGACTTTTTATACTCTCACCTGAGATTTAGCTATAAGCGAGTATTTTAGAGTTCTTTACGCCCAACTGCAATGCTCCTACTTTTTATAAATTATCTGCACAAATGGCCAGCATTTCATCTTCTTGCTGCTACAAAGATGACAAAACTTTGCTATTTAGGTTCGTATCTGGACAATGAGAATCTATACAATGCCAGTTCAAAAGTCAGTAAACTCTTCAGAAAGAAGGAATAAAAATGCAGTTGAATAAAAAATGAACAACTCGAGCAGTGTCATGCATGTAATACCCTTGCATTAAAAAGTATTCGACGATGAAGTACCTATCAAAAAATAAAAAACTTTCGTATCTCCTCTTTAATAAACAAATATACTAATTCTCTAATGGAATCTCTTTTAGTTGTAACTTATTTTTGCATTTGGCAAACCCTCTGCTAGGGTATACTCAGTTTTAAACACTGTCGAATGAAATGCAAAAAACTTTCGCGTTTATAAATCAAAAACTTTCCATTTTCTTTAGTTTTTCCGGCTGGTGCTGCTGCTGCATGGAAACTTCCGGCGCCAATGGCTAGACGAGAAGCATTCAAATAAATAAAAAGTAAACTTTTTCTGCCATAGCAGCTGTAGATAAAAGTGAAACTTTCAACTTCAAACTAAACGCAAATTGATCGAAAACACGCACAGAATAGCTTCAAAAGAGCTATTTAAAGAGCTCCATTGTAAGCCAGCTTCTATGGCCGACAGTCCATTTAAATTTGTTGCATTTCTGCTAAGTTATCATAGAGAAAATATCAATGTATCTAAATGTATTTGTGCATTAGGCAACAGTTGTACATTTCATTTACATATTTTTGCAACTTTTTTGCGCACCTGCGAGAGGTCTGATAAAAATATGAATAGTTGGCACAATGCCCAAAAGGCAGCCACAGAGCAAAAATAATAATAATAAATTATAGTTATATGCGCGACAAAAAAAATACGAAAATAAATTATTGCATTTAGGAAAAGTGCAAATGGTGGTTAAGTGACAAAAACGAATGTGCAAAGAGAGAAAAAATACAATCACATAACATGTATATATACATACATACGTATGGAAAGACTGAAATGTGCTTAAACTATTACAAACGCTCAATTATACATAATTGAGCCCACAGTATGAATTATTTATTACTTTGTGTGTGTGTGTGTGTGGGTGTGTGTGTGGGTGTGTGTGTTCGTGTCTGACTTAAATAGCAGACCTAAATATTAATAATGTCACACAGAGAGCAACAGAAAGTTGAGCAGGACACATAATTGTTTTGGTAGCCTCATTAAGGACCAAGATGTGTGGCCAAGCACAGTCAGGGCTGGCACTAATATGGTCAGAGCACAGCATGAGATTATTGCGATTATTCACTTAAGCGGAAATTGCACACCAACCAGCACACATTTGTGTATGTCCTTTAAAGCCTGCGGGAAATTATTATAGTATTTTATGCTCATATAAATCCATGCCAGAAATTCCAATGGAATCTTAAGCAGCGCCTGCTCAGCATTTTAATGAAGGCAGAAAAGTACCTCAAGCTGATTTATCAAGAAAAAGTGTTTTGAATAAGAGAAAAAACACCTACGAGTTCTTGGAATAAATCAGCAAGAATTTATATAGATAGAGCCAAATGGCATATAGGCAATATAGAAACATTTATAGCAGCTCTGCTCAATACGTTCTCTTAATAAATTAATTGCTTTAATTACCATTTGCAATGAAACTTTTTTCCATTAAAATATGTACACTTATCTATATATATTTAATGTTCTGTTACATTTATAATTAATTTCAATTTAATTAAAATGTTATTTACTTTTTATTCCAGCTGAGAGCTATTCAAATTGATTTTAAATGAATTTATCTGTTAAGCACAAATTAAATATAATACAAAAAAAAATAAAACAAAATACTAGAAAAGGAAAATACTTTATAAGCAGCAGCAAGTTTTCAGTAATTAGTTGGCTCAAATGAAATTGTGCTGCAAGCCACCCATCGTTAACCCACCACCCCTACCATTACACCTGGCTTTTACGCTTTGGCTTTTCTCATGTGCAGCTGTCACTTTTAAAAAGTTGCCATCACCCTCAACAAAATTTGGCGCATAATTCGCAGCTCTGTATAAAATTTAATTAAGACGCTCGAAACTTTTTCACACTTTGACACAAGCCCCAAGCATATGCACTGGCCCTGCCACTGGCCCCATAATACTTTTGCTCTCCCCCCCCCTCGTCCTGCCTCTTGACTGTCCCCAAGCTGCGTTCCGATCTTCACGGTCTCAGTCGGTTAGCTCCAGGGGCGTTAAGGCAACTACTTTACTTTGGCTTTGGCGAAACTTTCGCATTTGGCCAGACCGCTGCGTAGCTGCATAATATTGCAAACTGTGAAGTGGCAGCGGATGAAATTATGCGCCCTGCTGAGCGCTTTGTTAATTATGCTGCAGCCCCCGAGTAGCTGCCGCTGCCGCTGCCGCTACTTGCAGCGTGCAACTTCTTACTGCTACTTCCTGCCATTGTTGTTAGCTTTCTTGGCAACCGCAAAAGTTTTGTTGCACAATTTGTGCTTAAACAAAGCCAAAACAATTTAATTGTCGCTGTGAAGGCAGCCGGTTTCCTATCGCGTGCCCAAAAAGGGCAATCTTTATGATGTATAGATTATGCAATCTGCAAACCCCAATCGAACCCTTGACACTTCCAACAGACAAAAACAGCTAAAAAAAAAAACAAAAAATGCCCAACCAATCCGCAACAGTCGTTTGGCTGCAACCAGAAAGCCAAATCTGACAGCTTTTTACACCCAAAACACATTGAATTGCATAAGCAGAGCATGCGGGCTTTAATATTGTAGATATGTACGTAACAGAGGGAGGTAAGTGTATGTAAGTATGAGTAGATTTGTAGAAAGATAGAAAAGGCAGCCCGGTGACGCAGTTCAGGGTATCTTTTAGTCGTGCTGTGACAAATAAAGTAATTTTACTTATTATTCTCAGAGCGAATTTAAAAGCATAGATAGATAGATAGAAGGTGAAGAAAAAAATATAAAAGAAATAAGAGTAAGAGTATAGAACCGGGAACAGAAAAGAGAAGAAAAGAATTGAAGTGCAGATCTGCTGGCCCGAGATACAGAGTATCTGCCAGTCAGCCAGACTAGCTTTAAGCTCTTTAACTTATTTTAGCTTTTTTGTGGCAGCGACGCGCGAATCTACAAACACACTCAGCTAGCCATGTTTTGTCTTTGCCGATAGCCAATTCTTTTTTTTGTGTTTGTTAGACGATGGCACATCGATGTATTTCACGGCTCGCTAATGAGCAAGGACATTAAATAACATGACAACAGCGGCTGCATTTGATGCATGTTTCTTGTACCGAACTGGCGAGCTGAACAAAAGCTATTTGTAATTGATTTTCTAGGCTTTGGCTAACGTTAATGTTTTAACAAGGACATTCTTGAGGTTTTCTATTACTGTTAGCACTTTGGAAAAGGAACTGGAACTTTGAGTTTGCTACACGCAGACTGCGAAATAAAATTCTTTTCAAATTTAAAAATGCCTAAGAGCGTCACTTTGGCAACGAGCCAAGGCGCACAAGACGTTGGTCTGGGCCCCAGAACTTTTTGCGCTGACAGAAAGCAGCCGCAGCAGCAGCAACAGCAGCCGCCCTATCCTAGCTAAAAGGCACTAAAAAGGCAGAAAAATGTCTGTAGGGGAGTCGACTGGCTGCCTGACTAGCTGACTGGCTCCTTGGTATGGGAAAATGTTACAACTACTGAAAACTTGTTATCTTAATGGATATTTTGTACTTCGTTTGTGGTTTAAATTGACTCACTCGGCCGACCAGCTAGCTCACTTGCCTCCCGGCGCACATAGCGAAAAACTAGCGCAAAAGAAAGAAAACTCTTTTACCCTCTTGTTGCATTATTTGTTGAATATGTTTTCTTTTTTCTCTGTTGCTTGCCAATGAAGTTGTCAGGCTGTGAACTACATAAGTAAATTCAATATTTTAGTAGTAGTTCGTATTGGATTTTAGTAATGTTGAGTTAAGGCTAGCTTAATTAAATTTCAGCTCATGCCACACGTCGTATACGCAACAATTGCTAATCCAACTCAAGCCGCGCAAATGAAATAGAATCAATTAAACAATTGTAATTGGATTAGCACAAGAGCGCTGACGCTGTCTTGAATGTCAAACAGCCACAGTGACTACCAAAATTTAATTATGTAAACCCAGCATTTGCTATTGGAAAGTACATTTAATTAAACTTTCACTGCTTGACAAATACGTGAAATATTTACGCAGAATTTAAAATCAACTTGACTTCGGGTGCATCTAATGAAATGGAAGTGCGTCGAAAGCGTAAGCAAAGAGTGAACATATATACTAAGCATCTATATATATATAGGAGTGTAAGAATCAGAGGAGTTTGCTTTAAGTTTAAAGTTAATTTCCGTCTCAATTGGGTTGGCTTCAATCCCAATTTTGCCACTTCACATAAAGTATCTCAATGCCCAGCACCAATAGAGCAACGCCATAGCTAAAGACGAGTATCATCAGAGCCGAGCTAACAGTATCCATATCCACCTATGGGTAAACTTACTTTAGAGATGAAAGACTGAGAACTTGTTGCTCACGTGTAAATCGGATGTTTCAATTTTCTTAACACAGGGCGGTTTTCTGGAATGCCAGATATTGAATTGATAGGAAAAGATGCCTGTTTCCGTCACACGTCGCAAACTATTCATTGAAAAATCAGATTACTTAATAATACTAGCCAAGTTGGCTGTCTCTTACCCATATGATATAACCTTACGCATAGGCGAGTTCTTTTGAGTTATGCTGACCGTCTTTTGCGGAGCAAACATGCTGACCTCTGTCAGATCACAAATCTCACGCTCGTCGAACGTTTCGGCAATAATTTTATAGGCGGCCGCAACATCCACGTGAAAGGCAAAGCCTACATAATAAATGATTTCAAATGTTTCTGTCACAGATGTGGCTCAGCTTACGTTCGAGTTTGACTCGGCGTAAGCCCGTATCAGGATCTAGCCAATTAGTAGCTGTGTTCTCCTTGGCATGTGCGCCAACCTCATGACTGTGCACAATATCGCGAAATGATTTGGCATCAGCACCAGGTGGCGGCGGCTCTGGTTCCTCCTCGCCACCAGTCCCCCCACCGGCAGTCGCAGAGTTCTCACTATTAGATGGCACCTTGGTTATTTTCTTGGCATAAAGCTCCATGGAAACGGGGTCTTTAGTGTTCTGTAAAGCGCAGAAAAGTAGCAAGTATTTCTCTAGCTCTGCCTATAGCCTACCAAGAAGTAATCTCGATTGTACACAATGTCCTCGACACCAACTTGCAGCGAGCTCTGCACCAAATCGCTCAGAGTCCTGATGGTCTTTGGCTTCTCCATGAGCAGCGTGCCCACAATACTGGCCGAGTAGAACTGATAGATACAGAAGGAGAAGAGCAGACTGGTTATGACAATGGTGCGTCCAGAGGTAAAGCTGGTGGAGAAGCCCAAGCCCTGTTGGCAAATGATGCCCACAAAGAACAAGACTGACTCCAGAAAAAGACCCTCACGTGTTGAAGTCTTGCTCAATGCCTGGCGCTTAGTGACGTAGTTGCTCAATCTAGCATAGCAGCGCTGTCGAAATCCGCCAACCACAGGCAGCAGCTGCAATGAGGCCACTGAGACATCATCCGATAAAGTCACAGCACTAACAGTAGGGACATCTTGCTGTTGCTGCTGTTGATGGTGATGATGATGGTGATGATGCTGTGGAACGCCGCCCTTTGGCTTGATTAGAGCGGCACCCTGCTGCGGCACCAGCTTCCACTCAATGGTAGTCAACAGCCAAAGTAAAAACACAGTTACAACGCCACATACCAAGATCAATACCCAAACATCGTTCGTGAATGGCTGCAGAAACACTATGCGATCCTTTTGTGTATTTCGCGGATGGCGGAAAATAAAGCACGGGCGACTGGACCAGCTACGACCAGCTGCATCGATCCACTTGTGACGCTCCAGCCAATAGAAAATAGGCGCGCCGCCAATATCTGTCTCGTTGCGTATGAGCGCCCCAATCATGCCATCATAGCGGCCATTCTTCAGATAGCCCCAGGTGGAGGTGCGTGACAGGACAAACGTCCAGTTGAACATGTCCCGGACGGCCATCAGCAGATTGAAATTGAAACGGTTCATTGTATCGATGTGGCTCGACACCGTGTGCGTTAGATAGTAGAGGAGTGTGCCCGTCATGTTTTTGTTGGTCACCTGTCAATGACAACACTTTCGAGTGTTACCCAGACGCCATCAGCCCATGCTCCGCCACTAACACCACCTACCACAACCATGCAACGCACTTGGGCGTGCTGCATATTGAGACGTCGCAATAGCGTCGATGTCGTACGAAACCAGCTATGCAGCTGCAGTCCGTCTGTCAAAGTGAAGCTGCCAATTTCCGTGATGTTGACGTGTCCACCATAGGTACGACCGGGGCTCCTGCGTATTGAAATGTTGCAAGATGCATAATGATCTATACAGACAAGTTTTATAGCACTAGAAATATGATTCGTTTGCCTTAAGTTTTCATTCATGAAATCAGTTCTTAGCTAAAGCTGAAGCTCCCAAACTCTATTCTAGTCAAACACACTCATAGTAGGACTCATGCAGCTGCACCCACTTCTCGTTAACACTAACTGTCAGTAGCAACAAGTCAATAGCAAATACAACTGACAGCTGTTCCTAGCAATGCAAAAGACAGCCCCAATGCTACATACCAGATGTCGTACAGTGAATAGCTGGCGTCTTGGGGCATACGCTTAGCAAGGGTTAGCTCGGTGTTCATGTAGAAGTTCAGGGTCTCCATTAAGCTTTCAATGGGCTCTAGTTCATCCGTATCCGTGTCTGTGTCTGTGTCTGTGTTCGTATCCATCAGATGCAGCTGCTGTTGGGGCCTCATCACGCCCGCACTTACGTGCAGCGCATAATCCTCAATCAATAGCCAGTGATATTTATCGTTGTAGAGCATCTTGGCTGAAGCCTTGCAAATAGTTGCAGCTGAGTACTCAATATGCATAAGGACATGCTACCGCCTGTCCGTGCCACTTACCATCTCCAGGAAACGACGACTTAGCATGCCACATGCCAAATCCACGACCACGACTTGCCTCAGCGCCTCCGCCCTCAGCGCGCTGTCCAACCAATCGGCGCTGCTTGGAGCTGCGCCGAGAGCTGTGCCAGGTCTGCCACCGCCTCCACCTGCCGGCCAGCCACGCGATACGCCCCTGCCGCCCGGCTTGCCTCTCGGCTGCCGCAGCACATCCAGCATCACAATCCGCACAAAGGGCCTGCGCTGCACGTTGTCCTGATAGAGGCTACCAATCAGCTGCGCATTCTTGGCCTCGAATGCCGCGTAAAGTTGGTTCAGGTTGGCGCGACTGGCGCGCACAGTGCCCGTGTCATTGTTGGCGGGATTGCGGCAGGTGAAGTAAGTTAACCTCGGTATTTGTTTGTGCACCTCCACAAACTCCAACATCAGCCGGCTCTGCAGCAGCGCCATGCTCTGTGCTGGCTCTAACTCAGCCAGCTGAACGCCAGCCACTAGGCTGACTAATAGCAAGACTGTTGGGCAGCCAGCCATGTTTTCAAATGGCGTTTTGATTGCCGTGTAACGGTCTTATAAGAAGTTGCAGCAACTGCTCAATTATGAATAAATATCGCAGATATTGCGTGGAATTGACCGAATTCCGATGGTAGCCGTAAATCAGCTATTGGAATTTCACTTTTCTTGTCAGCTTGACACGATTATTATTCAATTTTCATCAATTAGCTTTCATAATTCATAAGGCATGCCCCACGACCACATTTGCATTTACCCATAAATATGCATGTGAAAGGGAAGGGGAATGCGTATGAATATCTCTTCACTGGAAAATGCTGTCCATTGTAATCTCTCTGTGTGTGTGTTTGTGTTTTTGTGTTTTGTCCTTTGGGTATTCATTCGGTTTGGCAAAGCGCCCATGTCACAAAATTTTGACAGTTTGTCACTTTAATTGAATTTCTATGCAAAAGGTCCTCGAAAAGTTTATGGCGTAGGTTGCTTTACTTAAAAGTTAAATAGCTTTTGTTAAAGATATGACAGCTACAAAAATGTATCAGCATTGGCAAAACAAAACGAAACAGAATCTTTAATTAGAGCGTGAGGTTTAGCTATTGAATTCTTTGACTAAAACTTGTATAACATTTTTCTAGTTTAAAAATGTTAAAGACTTCATTTAAAGTAAACACAGTTCTTTAATTACTGACCTTAAACCACATTAGGCTTTATGACTTCTCCTGTTTCCTGACTTTTGCCATTATTTAATTCCATTTTTTTGCTCTTCGCACAGGTTTAAAGCAAGACAATGTCCAAGGACCTGGCCACAAACTCATATTTCCTTATTATCTGTGCGGCTCCATCCTAATAGCAAAGAGCAAGCAAAGAAAAACCGAAATGGAATTATTAATGGCACTGTCCATTTGCTGCTAAGTGGCGCAAATTACATTTTTGTTTATTTTGCTGGAGGTTTAGCGCTGTTGTCTTATTTTTTATTTATTTTTTTTTTATTATTTTTATTTTTTTTCTTGAACAAGTTGACTTTTTGGCCTGAAGGCGTCGTTGCTTCTGTTCGTTGTCTCTATATATATAAATATTTTTGTTTTTAATTTCGTATAGTCTCACAGCGTACTTTGTATGGCTTTTGGGCGTTCGTTGAAATCCTTAATTGTTCTTGGCAGTAAACGGAGCGCGAAGACTTTGCGTTTTTGCCAAGCGCGTCGAAGCGCATCGCTTTAATGGCTGCACAGTGCCTCAATACCTTTTTGCTGTTATTTATTAGCCCCACCACCGCCCGCATCCCACCCACATGTTCGGCGAGTCCACACATTGCGTATGTGTAATATTCGTGCTTGTAAGCGGATTTGAAGACTTTCAAAGCAAACTACAAAGTTGAGCATAGCCCGAAAAGTTAGAGCAATAGCTCGAACAACTCGTTGCTCATGCAATTAGAAAATGCTTGCATATGTATGAGGTCTCCGCTTAGAGTTTGCTTTGTCCTTAAAGAGCAAGCACTTACTGCAGGCAACTTTTGCTAAACTGTCACTAATGAGTGGTAAAGTGCACATTTGCAAGTGCAACGAGCAGTCAGCCAATAAAAAAACACAAGCGAAATAAGAAGATGACAACAACAAATGACAAAAACTTGCCCAGCAAGAAAAGTTTTTCATGAAAGCAGCTAGTTTTCTCTTAGCCCCTCTCCCACACTCTAATTCTGTCTATCTCCCTTGCTCGCTGTCGCAATTTGCGTGCCTGGCATATTGGCCCCATGAAGTGTCAACGGCAGTTGCAACTGTCGCCGCTTTTGGGCTTGCTTTATGAGGCCCCGTTACTGTGGCTAAAAGTCACAGCCAAGTGCAGGAGTAAACCACAACAAAGGCGTGCAAAAGCGCAAAATGAACAAGCACAAGCTGAAAAGCAGCGGCACAAAGTGAACAAGTGGACCCAGTTTTTCGGGGTACAGAAAGAAGGTGGATGGTGGGCGGTGGGCGGCGGGTGAACTTGTTGGTGGCTAAAAGTGCCAAACGACATTTGCATGCAAATGATGCAGGCAGCCAAGTGGCAAGTAGAAAGTGGCCAACTGGCCAACTGAACTGACTCTCCCAATACTCGTAGGTACTGCAATTGCCCGGACGTGTAACGCGCATTGGCCTCAGCCAGATGAACTTGCTTGGTGCTAATGAGATCAGCATGCAAATGCAATTGTAGCTGCGCTGCCGCTGCCGCCGCTGCTGCCACTAGTCAAGACTAAGGGCTAAGAGCCGCACTCAATAAGCCAGGAAATTGCAATAAAAGTAAGCCATTACAGCTGCACATTATACAGTTACATTATAGCCTTAAGTGCCTTACAGCATTCATCAGCATCAGCCCAGCATAATATGACAAGCCGCATTAATCAGCTCACGGCTCACAGATCACGAACCACTTGCAACACGTAAATTTAAAAGGCCAAAAGTGCTCAGCTCAACTCTCGACCTCTGTGTCTGTCTTCACTGATGATGATTTCAATTTATGTTTTTTTACTGAAATTTTCATTTTCATTTTCATTTTCAGTGCTCAACCTGTCTGACTACACTCTGAACACGGCCAATGGTAATTTTTCCAGCTGAGCTGCTCCGACACGAAAGCAACTCAAGCCCGCAGCTAAACTCCAGCTTTATGATGTTGCACGTATTAAGCATACATACATGGGTCAAATGGCACAGGTGTGCTTACACAGTTCACTGAAAAGGGACTCTCGACATGTGCACATCAATCAGCGCCAGTTAACATCATCTACCACTAAGCAAATATCCTAATCAAGACAGACACAATATATATGTATTGAGTAGACAAATGATAATTATTATAATAGCCAAATATATTTCGGGATTATTTGATTCTCTTGGCGAATCAACCTTAATTGTGTTGCAAAATCATATTGCGGCATAATGCTAAGAAATTCGGACGTAGATTGCTAGACTAACTTTTTAATGAAAGACAAGATCTTTCAGTTTCCTTGGCCAAGTTTTTACTTTCACTTTTATATCACTTTCGTTGCGTTTCTTTTTTTTTTTTTTGTATTTTCTGTGTGCATTAATAAACTCGACTGTCATGCGGCATTTTTCATCATTATGCAGATGCCGCAAGTTGACAAATTTCCGAGACATTTTCTTATGCTTGTCGCTCCGACAGTGCCAGAAGAACCAGAACCTGTACCCTCTCACTTTTATCCTTGAAACAAATTTGCATCTCTCAAGATATTTAGCTTAAGTAAAAACGCAGCTGACTGACATTTCTAGTCAAATGGAAGCCAAAAGAAAAGTGTTTTTTGTATTCGGCCTGCAGCAAAACAGGCTGACACTGAAAAGTAAATAATATTTAAGTAAAATATATTTTTATCTTAAGAATATTGAAGAAATAATAATAATTGTATAGCAAAATCAATTACTTCAAATATTTACATGTTTCTGGCGTTTTTTAGAAACTTTCCAGTTTCCTTTTCATTCCTATCTCCCACATTCACGCCGGCCATTAAGTTCTTTACAGCGCCAGTCACAACTTAAATACCATAAAATAAATCGCAGTCCAATCTTCTTGCCACTTGCTCATGCCCCGGCGGCTCGCGCTGAGCAAAAGTTGCGACGTCAACTGAAAGTCGCGCTGAGTGCATTTTGTTGATTTATAATAAAAATAATGTTAAAAACATATTACAATATAATGAATGCGCGCGACGGGGTAGCTGGGCTACGTCAGATATAAAACAAGGCTGAAGTTTATGCCGCAATCCTCAAACTGACTGTTCAATACTCTGTTTACTTTGCTGTAAAAGTTAAAATTGTATCAATAAAATATTTATGCATACAATTCTTTAGACTACCTTGTGCCAAGAGAATTATTGGGATAAGTCAGTCAAAGGTATATACTCCATATTCCGCTGCGAACAGTGTATAAAAAGTGCAAAACAAGATGGGCAGGAAGCTCAGCGAAAGGCGTCGTAAACAAGTTTCGAGTGAAATAATAAAATGCGCTTTTTATGCATTTCTCTTAGGCGAGCGAAAAAGAGAGCAACAGCCCCAACGCCTCTTGTTGTGCTCCTTGCTACAATGCGTGTTATGTAATAGTTTACCCTGCTACCCTGTTACTCTGCCTCGCAGGCTGCCACCTGTCCACCTGGCTGCATGCTTGCCATTATTAAGGCAAGCTGTCGTGACGTCCTTGCAACTTTGCAGCATATTTCAGCGCTGTGGCAAAAATGCGCAAAAACTTTCACCCGCTGCACTCAAGCAGCAGCAACAGCAACAGCAACAGCAGCAGCAACAACAGTCAGTTAAAATAGCTAAAGAATAACATGAATAACCTGCATATGAAACGCACACAAAAAGCAAGCGTGGCTGTAAAAGCAGCCACAAGTTTTCACCCCACAATTTTGACACCTGAACCAGTTGCCGCGATGACAACATACCGGCATGTTAATCCGGCATTCAGAGCAGCTGCAACAGCAGTGGCAGCCGCCGCAACAGTGGCAGGGCCAGCCGCAGTCAAAAGTGTAACAAAAGAGTTTGCCAAAAACAATCAACAAAATAAACAAACCAGAGGAGGAGTTATGGGCTATTCGCAGCTCAACAGGGCGTATGAGCAATGGGATTCAGTTAACAGCATGACTAAAGCATTTCAACTGCTCGCCGGCATTTGTTAGCAATTATTGTTAAGGCTAAAGTTAATGTTTAATATGAAAAATATTACGAAAATTATATAAATATTAGATGAAGGGCAGCGCTCCATGAGTCAAGCAGCATTTCAGTATTTTCCAACTATTGCACAATCATTTTCACTGCCTTTTCGCATGAACTACTGGTTTTAATATCTTATGACTCTTGCTTCATGCCTTTTACCGGCCTCGCCTCGCTTGCCTACTGCAACTTTTTGCTTTCGGCTTTTACAAAACTTTACTTCTATGTTAGCTTCAAATTTAATATTGCCTTTTCTTACCTTTGCCATGCTCTAGATATATATTTTTGCAAAAGAATTTTTAATGGTTGTCTGCATATTTTTTCATATTTCTTATTTTACATAATTTTCGTGCTAAACAAAAAAACCTTTAATCAAACCTTTGTTTGCTCTAAATTTGTATTTTCTTTCTTTTTGCTGCTTTGTTTAAGCTACAGATGTAGCTAGCCTTGACTAGACGCTCTTCAATCAAGAGCTCCGACGCATATGTAACGCTGAATTTTTATGGAAATCCATAAATAAAAGCGCACAGACACATGTTTACATGCTCATCAATTTGGCTCGAAGGCAGCCACTTGTGAAAGACAGCTAGAGCAAGGCAGGTAGAGTGAAAAGAGAGAGGGAATGAGCGAGAATGTTATGAATAAGACAGTCCAACTGGCAGTCAGACGTCAGACGCGAACATTTGTTAATCTTGGCACCGAGCGATGACAATAATTCACGGCACGTACCT